TGACAAAAACAGTGGGAACAAAGGCTTCAGGAAACTGTCAGGGGAAATGGACAGAAGAGAGGGTCTCTTATTTTATTGAGTCTGAGGATTGCTCTCTCTTGGTGTTGGCACTCAGAGAGGATGCCGACCTCAGTTGATTTGAGCTCCTGGATTGAATTAGTCCTGGTTGCGTAATTGACTTTGATATGTGGCCTTTGGATCTGAAATGGGTTTAATAAGATTTAACTGCTTCAAAGGGCTTTATAAGAATTCATTTTATCCTTCCAATCTGATTTCAAATGCTACCTACTTCATGATGCTTTCTCTGACTTTGATGCTCTTTCTTCAATGCTCCCATTGTGCCAAAGTTGATACATACCTCATTCAAATAATTACCCTCATTGTTCTTTATCACATTCTGTGGGATTTGATCCCTTTATTTCCTTTCCTCAGGCATCTTGAAGGACAGGTGGGTGAATCTTCCTTAAACTTGTATCACAAGGCATAGACCAGGAATGGTTGAGCTAACAAGTGCTCAATAACAATTACAAAAATATATTAATAACTGAAATAAAGTAAGTAGAACACCCACGTTAGGGAGCTTTGGTGGCCTAGTAGGTAAGGAGTTGTGTTGCTGACCCAAAGACCCACAGCTGAAGCCTGCAAGCTGCTCTACAGAAGGCAATCTCCTCTGGTGTTATTTCCAGTCTTTGAAAATCCCACTGGTGGGTCGGCAGTGGGTCAGTTTCAGCAAGACAGCAGTGAGAGAGATAACTACATTTGGGAGCTCTGGTGACCTAGTGGATAGAGAGTTGTGCTGTTAATCCAAATGCAAGTGGTTGGAATTCACCTGCTGCTCCACAGAAGAAAATGGCCAATCTCCTCCCATACAATTTGATAATCCCCCTGATTCAATAACAATGAGAAAGAAGAGATACTGATATTGTTTCATTTACTAGAAATTTTAGGAAGAAAGTATGTTTATTATCCCCATTTCCAATGAGAAAACTGGACATTGGTCGAATTTGACCCAAGGTAAACTCAATGCTTGAACATTCTCTGTAGGCTTGTTTTTTCTTTTTCCTTCCAGTGTCTTACTTTTTAACCAATATAGATGGACAAAAAAGGAAACAATTTTCATTCTAGCTAAAGGAAAGGTATGGAAGAGTTAATTTATTAAAAAAAATAACTACGACTTATAATTATGTTTCATTCTAACTACTACTTCTCTATTTTTAATTATATGGGTGTTTTTTTAAAAAAAAATTGGTTACCAACACTTTCTGGAAAAATGTTTCAAACTCCTACATTAGAATGTAATCCACTTAAGAACCAAGTATTCTGTGGGGAAAGGGACCAACATTTACTTAGTTTCTACTTTTTTCTATTGGTTTATTTTAAACTTAACCTAATAGGTACTCAATCCCATGCATGCAGAATAGAACTCTACAGAGTTTGGAAGATGATTGATCACCTAATGATCTTTTAAGGTGCCTTTGGGTAAATTTGAACCACCAACATTTTAGCCAGAGTGCTTAACAGTTTGTACCAAGCAAGGAGACCGGGAGGTGGTCATCATGAATCAGAACCATTTTGATGCAATTAACAGTAACTGGGTAGTGGGCAACTAATAACAAGTGGGTGTTGGGAACCTTTCAGGCTAAAGGGATTCAATGGTGACCAAAGCAAAGTCCTGATTTTCACAGGAATGAGCCTCTCAAAAGGGCACTTTATAAGTACAAGAGATAATGATGACAATAATACTATATATCTCTTAGCAATAGCAATACTTATCTGTGCCAGGCACTGCCTACGTACTTTACATGGATAAAATCAATCATCAACAACTCTATGAGCTAGAGGCAATGTTCTCCCCATTTTACAAATGATTCAGAAAATGAAGCATTAGGAGGTAAGTGACTTACTCAATTTCTGAACACAAGGAGGGGGACTCTAATTCACAGTGTTTCCTTTATATTTCTTTATGTCACACAACTTTTAAGTAGCTAAATTCTATCTTCACATAATTGCACCTTGTGGAAGCCTTGTGGAATAAATGAGAATGTATTCGAATTTTTGCAACTTTCTCTTACAAAGAATGAAAACTTGTTTTCCACATAATTCGCACAGATCTGTGATATGAACCTTCTCACACTTTTAATTATCCCCAGAAGGGATAGATAAGCCACTGCTCCGGGTCATTTGACACTGGCCGGGGCACCCGGTAGATGGCGCTATCATAGTAGCCACCAGCTGACTGCCCCATCCCCGGGGCTCACCGCCTCCGCGGAAAGCTTCCCGTCCCTCCCTTACTCCCTTCTCTCTCCCCCTCCCCACGGAGCCCGCGCCCACGTGACCTTAAAACGGCCAATAGGCGAGCAGAGAGGGCGAGCTGGTCCCTGTGGCCGCCATTAAAGCGAAGGGAAAACCCGTGAATTCGGATTAAAGGGGGAAAAACACCGCCCGCTGGGCCCACAAAATGGGGGAGACTACGGCGTCCTGGCAATGAGGCCGCAAGAGAGCAGACGTTGTTAGGTCGGCTCCGCCCAGGGACAACACGGAGACACAGCCAGAGAATGGTCTAAGCCCGCAGACGCCGCCACCACCTCCGCCGCCGAGGAGACTCTGGGTTTAAGGACATCGCCGCTGCCGGGCCGGGGGCCTGGGCTTCTCTTCCCGTTCTCGCCCTTCCCGCCCCTCTCGGGTTGTCTCCGCGCCCGAGAGAACCCGCCGGGGCTTGGACTCTGCCGTTTCGGACTCGATCTTAATTATTTATTGTGTAATTTATTATTTTTCTGGTGGAAGGGGCACACATCCCCTCTGTCTCCCAGCGAGGGGCGAGCGTCCGCGGGCTCCGCGGCGGCCGCAGTCCGGCCGGCGGGGCGAGCGCGGCACG